TGGGTTCATCTCGGAACCCAAGCGCGGGGTTCGCCGCGAATTCAGCTCCTGGGTTCGTAGATAAGGGATTTTCGATAAGGATTTTCTGTTTGTTTCTCTGACTGGATGAGGAAGAATTTTTGTTTGTTTCTCTGATTGAATTGGATTAGGAAGAAGACAGTGAAGAACGGTGAAGAATGGAGCAGAAATGTGGTGTTTTGAAACATTATATAGTGGTTTTTTTGTAAATAAAAGGAAGTGCGAGGATAAAATGGGGATATCATGTCAATTTCATTAATACAAAAGCCGGAAGCTGCGCGGAAGTAAGAATTTTGAGCTTCCGACCTTTGCATAGAAAAAGTGAGAAGCTGAGCTTCTCAAAAGCTGCAGCCACATTAGGAAGCTACCCCGTTTGGTGTGGCTTGTGCTTTTAAAGCCAAAAAGCTCTTCTCACAATCCACACCAAACAGGCACTTAATACCGCAATAAAGAATACCCATAACACCAGCTCTGGTGCCAAAATTTTTATTTTTTTATTGATTAGAGATATTTATGGAAAGAGTATAATGCCTGTATCCAGCCAAAATTACAATTTTTTTTAAACAAATTTATGTTGAAAGGAAATTTGAAACTCAACCCTTAACTTAAAAGATACATTTTTTAACTTGATTTATAGTTGTTGGCTCTTGTCCAGATGCAAAGCCAAAAAAAAATTTACAAATTTTGTCGGGTTAAATTTAATTTTTCATCTATTAACTATTACTCTTTTTTTATTTTAGTCTAGTAAGTTTAGTTTCTTTCAAAATCATTTACAACCTTTGAAAATCATTTCAAATTCATCTATCCAATAAACAGCAGTTAGTTTTTTTAATGGAATCCCATGGCATGCTTACGTGGTACCAATTATGTGGCACATGTAGTTGTAAAAAATTATACTTTAACCCCATAAACTTTACAAAATTTTCAATTAAGTTTTATATTCAAACTATTTTACAATACAATTTACTCAACTAAATCCTTAAATGGACTAAATTATAATTAATCAAAACTAATGATAAATAATTAAGATAGCTTAATTTGTTAATTAATTAACATTATAATATTATTTTTATCAAACTAAAATTTTTAAAAAATCTTTTACATGTAAAAATTTTTAAAATGTATTTTCTCTATCTTAAAATAATAAACATTTTTGAATTTATCTTTAAATTAAGGATTTAGAAACAATTTTTATTATTACATATTTTATCCTTAAAAAAGAAATAAAAATAAAGAACATTTTTTAAGAATAATGATAAATAAAACCAAAATTTAGAACTAAAATTTAACTTATATCACATTATCTAAAATATTAAAAAATAGATCTTAGATTATTTAATAATTGATTTTTTTTAAGAGATGTGATATTATATGCATTAACTAATTTAATTATATAATTTATATCAAGTCATTAGTTTTAAATTTTCATCCTCCCTATCATTACTCTTTTATAATAAGAAAAATTATTAAAATTAAGATATAATCATAAAATT